TCTACTTAAAAAAAGTATTGGCTTAAAACAACAATAAACTTTTATTGTCTCAAGTCTCTGGGAGTCAGAAATTGGGAGTGGCTTAGCCTGGGGGTTCTAGTTCAAGGTCATTCACAGTTTTCAGTCAAGATGTTAGCAGGGGCTGCAGTCATCTGAAGGCTTGACTGGGGCTGGAGAATCCACTGCCAGGCAGCCCACTGTTAAAGACGGCAAACTGAGAATGGCTGCTGCAGGAATCCTCAGTTCCTTACTACATGGACCTCTCCAGAGGGCTGCCTGGGTGACATTACAGCATGGCAGCAAGTGATCAAGGAGGGTGCAAGTTGGAAGCCATAGTATCTTTCACAACCTAGCCTTGGAAGTCACACACTGTCATTTCCACAACTTCCTGTTGGCTACACAGGTCAGCCCTACTCAACATGGGAGGGGCCTCACGGGACGTGAGGACCGAGGGGCAAGAATCACTGGGGCCATCTTGGGGGCTGATGCTATAGTGGGAACCAACACATTACACTAAAGACTTTGAGTAAATAATTTCACCTTCCTGTAAACAAAGTGTTATACTTGAAAGCAAAGTAAAATTTAGGAATACTACTCACAAAATCAGGCTGTAACATTTGTACCTCCACGGGAATTGGAATGGCAGGCTTGGCAATATGCAGATAATGGTAAGACCCAGGAAGAATGCCTCCTAGAGGAGATGGCAAGTTTTCCACATTTGAAATTAATTGTTAATGAGATGGGTAACAGAGCTTATGTTTTCACCACAGGACAAACAGAGATGACCACAATGGTGTATGCTCCTTAAACTTTCCCACTAAAGTACTGCTAATAGCAAAAATCTCCCTGGGGTGGTTGAGCTTTATTTAATCAAATCAATGTGAATGTGACATTATACCCCATAACATAGCTACCGATGCTCCAAGATATGACAAGCTGATCCTGTGTGTTCTGTGATTTCCCATAGCTCCCAGCACCCTAACCTATACATGCCAAGACCAAATCAGGACCAATTTAGAAATCTTAAATGTTGCAATGGTGTTCCTATTCCACATAATTCCTCCAATATGTAACCAAAATATTAAAAATTGAATTTCATAAGGAAAATCAACAAAGTTCTTTGTACAAGGCTTTAAAAACTATCATTATCAGATCCTTAATACATTTGGCTTGTCCCTGAATCTGAGCCTGATCCAGTTCTGATCTCAGACACCCCTCCCTTCTCTTGCTTGCCTATGGATACCACCTTTCCCAAGGTCTCACTCAGAGTAAGAAGCGGAGCAGGATCTCCCTGAGGGCATCTAATTAGGTACAGAAAGACGAGGACTGGAATGTGGGGCCTCTGTCTCTTTCATTTGATGTCTGTTTACTGGATTGGGGTCCATGGACACCCTTGGAGTCTGTGAAAGGCTCTGGGGTTGGTTGATAAATTTGCCAAAGTGACCATACATTTTGTACATATGTGCATTTTTTGGTAAAAGGTCCACAACATTCAAAGACACAATTTTAAAAGGTATCTCTAAGCCCCTAAACACGAAGGAACCCTGCATTACTCATGACATCATCTCCTTAGGGGTCAACAAGGCTTAGGAGATAAAAGTAGACTGTTTTACCACTGCAAATGGCTGAGTATACCCATCCGGAGAGCAGGCTACAGCCTGGAAGAAGCCTGCAAGGGTCTCCTTATCTCTGAACTTATAGTGAGAATGGACTTTGCGGTGAGATGTCAGGACAAGTGCCACTCACCAGCTGTGAGACCCTCAGGCAAGTTACCAACAGATCATGACCTAGTCTGTTTCCTTATCTGTAAAATGGGGACCTCAGCTAGGATGTGGTCCACAATAAATGCTAATATGCAAAGGACCCTACTAATCATGGTAATGCGAGGTTCATGATAAATGCTTAGGAAATGAGATAAACTCCTCCACCATCTCTGTGGCAACCTTCTGAGGAGCCCCTCACCCAATCTAAGAGAAACACGGAGGCTGGTCTGAACACTGACCCAGATCCAATTTGTGGCCTCATCTCAGGGAACAAGGTGGCTTGCCCACACACCTTGGATCTTGGCTCCCTTGTACATGGGAATGGGTAGGTCAAGATCATCTGGCAGCTCAGTCACAGGCTCAAGGGTCGGGTCAAAGAGACTGAGCACAGCTGCCGCCAGGTGAAAGCCGATTTCTTTGGAACTGAAGTTGCTGTGAGTCCACTCGTATGCGTAATATCTATTGGAGAATTTGGTGAGGGGGCCAGCCGCTCTGATGGCGACGTCATTGGTGTGGAAGTTGGCATCAATCACAAGTCGGCCGTCATAGACAAGACACGCATCGTCGAGTGCTTTGAACGTTTCATAATCCACGTTCTTCTCACAGAAGCTGAAGAACATCTACAAAGTGGACAATCATGTCATTAATCAGTAATCATTGTTCATTTTACTTTCTCAGGAATGTGAATGGTTTCCAGGGAGTTTTGTTATTTGGCGCACAAAAATAAATCTACTAAAAGCTTGTCATATTGTGCGTGTGTGTGTGTATGTGTGTATGTGTGCCTGTGTATATGAGACAGAGAGATTGTCTTTCATATAAAGTACAAATTAAGATCACCCAGCATTACTCTTTTTTTTTCACTCAGTCTAGACATCCAGTGGCCTAAGGATGCCAAGTGATGGAATATCTACCACAAGACTAAATATATTTTCCCTGGAAGAAGGTTTGCATTTGTAGAGACCCACCTTCCCCTCATTTTCCTATATTTCAAATAGCTCTAGTTCAGCCTCCTCCTGCCTTCCTCCTCCTGTGACTAACACTTAAGTCTCTCTAGGCTCCTGCTTGGGGTTACCTCACCCAGTACTGAGTCTTGAGATTGCCCCATNAGAGACCCACCTTCCCCTCATTTTCCTATATTTCAAATAGCTCTAGTTCAGCCTCCTCCTGTCTTCCTCCTCCTGTGACTAACACTTAAGTCTCTCTAGGCTCCTGCTTGGGGTTACCTCACCCAGTACTGAGTCTTGAGATTGCCCCATTCCTAGCTTCTTAGACCCGGTAAGCTGGTCCCTGCAGGATGCCCTGGAGAGGACAAGAGCTCCATCAGCCTCAGTATCTACCAGGTCTGGGCTCCTGCCTCGTTCCTTCCTGCCCAGGTATGGCAGACAGTCATTTAAGAAATATTTTTGGTGTACCCACCACATTCCAGTCACTGTGCCAAAGAGGGGCCCTCTGCACATGCTCCTTAGGCGTTATCTCTGTGCCCCCTCCATTCTCTGCCCAAATTTCAATGCTTTCTCATGCTCATCTGTACATCTTTCATATCAATGTTGAAAGTCATTAAAGTAGTCCACGTTATTTGTTCATAAGTCTTTAGTTGTTGTTGAAGTAACTGAAGCAAGTCCAATTATTTTTATGTTTACCTAAATATAGTTTNATTTCAATGCTTTCTCATGCTCATCTGGACATCTTTCATATCAATGTTGAAAGTCATTAAAATAGTCCAGGTTATTTGTTCATAAGTCTTTAGTTGTTGTTGAAGTAACTGAAGCAAGTTCAATTATTTTTATGTTTACCTAAATATAGTTTGCCACCTTATTACAAGCATGATAAAACATGGACATAAGACGTGGTCCTAATCAGATTGATAGCCACCTCCCCACTTCCTTCACATGCCTGCTTTACCCAACTCACCTGTCCTATT